CCAGGAGATCTTGTCTTTTTCTCCTTCCTTGTAGATCCATGTATATCTCTCTTAGGGTCCTCATTGTTGTCTAGGTTTTATGGGGTTGTGAATTGTAGGCTGGTTTTTCTTTGCTTTTATGTCTTAAAGCCACTTATGAGTGAGTACATATGATATTTGTCTTTCTGGGTCTGGGTTACCTCACTCAATATGATGTTTTCTAGATCCATCCATTTGCCTGCAAATCTCAAGATGTCATTATTTTTACTGCTATGTAGTACTCTGTTGTGTAAAAGTAGCTGCTTCTCTTAAATATATTTGGTGTTCTAGTTTATAGATATCTTTATTACCTTTAAGCATAAATTACAATTTTTAGAATTAAAACTATAGATTTGTTTCTTGAGTCAGATACCAGATATTGGCAATTTACAGCACCAATACATACATGAGAAAAACATTAGGAAGTTATTGAACAATACAGTTAATAATATGTAGGTAGCATGAAATGCAGTCACATGCAGTCTGACTGTATGCCTGTCTGAGTGGTGTTCTTGTCATCTCTTCAGTGGGAGCTGGGGAAGTGGCCAACTTTGCTGCATATGCGTTCGCTCCGGCCACACTGGTGACTCCACTGGGCGCTCTCAGTGTCCTTGTAAGGTAAGCATCTCCATTTGACACACAGACATGGTACGTCAGTCAGCAAAATACTAGAGTGCTATCTGATTATGTCAGTGCATTGGAACAAACTGAGGACGTCTTAATACTTGGTAGCAATGTTGCCCACTTTCATAGTTAGTTATTGATTTGTGGGGCAAAATCACTTTATGTTTCGGCTTTTGTTCAGGACTAGCATGTTCGTGATTTCAGCTCTAGGAAATTCCAGGTGGCACTTGCCTCACCTTTACTGTCCAGTGCACACACACTGGCATGCAGGCTCCATCAGCGACTGTGTAACATCAGGTCTCAGGAGAGGTGGTGTTTCTACAGACTGGCCTGAGGTACTTTCTTTGCAAGACCAATTTAAAACTTGTCCTGTTTTGTTATTGTAATGATTAGTCCAGATAGCTAAGCCTGTCTGAAATCTGAATTTTTATTATTATGTTGAAAGTTGAGAACTTTTTATCACTTTTTAAATAAATTATATATAAAATGAAATTATTTTGTTTTTATCCTTAATTTTCCTTTTTATTATGCTGTGATCTTTCTTATTTGTCCTGTACTTTCTTTTTAGGTTTTGGTAAAACTAAGTTATAAAAACTTGTAATTTATAGGCAAACTAATAATTAAATGTTCCCAGACCACAGTTTCCTGACTCTGTATTATAGGCAAATTGTACACAATTAAACCAGCACATAAGGGCTGGCAAGATGGCTCAGCAGGTTTAAAAAAAAAAAAAACACTTGCTTCCAAGTTTGATGAGTTTGATACCCAGGACCTACTCTGTGGAGAGCCTACTTGGACAAGTTGTCTTCTTAGCGCCACACAGCAAGAAAGCCAGGGGTGGAGGGGATAAATAAGTATAACTTTAAAAGGATTGAAGTTTGGTAAATTTGAAGCATTGGTTTGGATATAGATTTTTAATATATCAACTATAGCTCTTTTATGTTTCATGTGGAGTCTTACCGGATGGCAGGTGCAGTTTCAGTGTATGTGGAGCTGGCGATTCGTTGTGTTCAGTTCTAGGACAAAGGTTCTGGTGCTCCTAGACGAGGTTTTGTGGCTAATACCAAAATGCCAGTCCAAGAGAAGCCATAGAGACAGCCAGCCAGAAACCGTGATCATATACTGTGCTGGAAAGGCAAGGCGGGGTGGTGGTATAAGCTCCCAGTTGATACAAGGAGAGTGAGCCAGAGTCAAGCAGTCTCCGTCTGGTCAGGCCAGTTGGTTAGGAGGGGCCTTGTTACTGTGGCTGTAAGGGGTTGCTTTTGCTTGGGAGGCTGTTCAGGCTTATCTGTGGTTACTTCAATCTAAGGGGATTGCAGTAAGTACTTACTGAGCAAAGAGCCAGGTGCAAAGTAGGGACAGAGGTCACATTTCTATCCTACGAGCTGGACGCTCATAAATCCAGGTGAAGAGTCCAGTGCTTTCTAGCAGAGCCACCTTTAAGTCCTTGTTACAGTTTTCTGATTGAACGTACATTTTCCTTGTCTAAAAGCAGGAAGTATTTTGTTTGAGTTTAGTAATCTGCATTGCAAGTTCGTTGAATTTTAAAAGTGAGGAAAAAAAAGCTAATTTAACTGTTCAACCTCTCATTCTTCCTTTCAGTGCCATTCTGTCTTCATACTTCCTAAATGAAAGGCTTAATCTTCATGGGAAAATTGGGTGTTTGCTGAGTATTCTAGGCTCTACAGTGATGGTCATTCATGCCCCGAAGGAAGAGGAGATTGAGACCTTAAATGAAATGTCCCATAAGTTAGGTGATCCAGGTAAGAAAAGCTGCAGGTGTGTTCCTGAAAACATTTGAACTTGTTTCCCTGACTTTGGCGTCGTATATGGCTTTATACTGTTGTCACAGTAAAACTCTGTTGTTAACCATCATGGTGACTTCCTTCTTTCCCTCTTTATTTCCACCTGCTCTCACTTTATAGCCAGGCTGGCCAGTCCTGGGGTTTTAGGTGTGCCTCATTTACCCAGTTTTCTGGTATGGCTTGGAATTTGCCTCAGCTGATAGTTGTTGTGAAATTATCAGTTCCTCCTAGAACTCATGGTCCGGCTCTACTTCAAGCCTGCATAGACTTTGAACCAGGTGTCCTGTTCTGGCTCCCGTTTATGCTGCTGAGTCACATTCAGATGTGGAATCCGCCCTTCTGGGGGAGACGGAGACAGGGTCTTAGCTCTGGTTTGTCTAGAACTCTGTATACACTATGATGGTCTCAAACTCCCAGATACCCGCCTGCCTCTGCCTCCCAAGTGCTAGGGTTAAAGGTGTGTGCCACCATGTTCAGTGTTCAGTTTTCTCAGATTTGCTGTGTTCTTTGAGCTAGCCTATACTTTCTTTTTTTTTTTTTGAAACCACTCCCCAAAAATTTATTTTTTGGATTCTTCATCAAAAAGATGTATATAGGTGTGCAGTTATGTGTAGCCTATACTTTCTGACACTCAGAAATAGTTCTCATAAAATATTTCTCCTGCTTTCTTTCCTTGTTGTTGCCTGCTTTAAATATCCTTTATTTATGGAGTTTGAAGCAGAGTGGCTTTTCTTAGCCTTGGTTTGTCCCCCCCCCCCCCTTTTCCTTCTTTCTCTCTGTCACAAGGTCTCGCGTAGCCTAGGCCAGCTTCAGCGTTTGCTATAGCCAAAGATAATCATGAATTCCTAATGGTTCTGCCTCCACTTCCAGACTGATAGGGCTATTGGTATATGCCCCCATCCCCCACCTCCTTTTCATCTCAAAATGCAAAAGGTCATTTGCGTGCTCTCTGCAGTGGAGCGCGGATGCCTGAGAACGGCCCAGCCCACGATTGTACTGCTGGCAGCTGTGCCGCACACCTCCGCACTCCTCCAGGACCCCAGCAGTTCTGAGGTTCTCTTAATGACTGTCCTTTCGATGGGAATACTCCTAACTCCTGATTTTTGCAGATGAACATGTTGAATAGCCAAGGGTACTTCCTGAACTCGAGTCTCCAGCGGCTTCTCCTTCCCTGTTGTCACGAGCATTCCCTGCCTTGTACTCTAGAATAGTTAAGTAGCATAAGATACTACTTTAGAAGTGTTAGTGCTGTGTTTTTAAGTCTCTGAAGCATATTTTAGTCTTAAACCGTGTATTTAAAGTGGAACTGAGGTATAAAACTCAGGGCCCTGCACATACTAGGCACGCACTCGGCCCCCAGGGCTCCAGTGTGAACTTTGTTCTGTTAGGTGTGATTTTGCTGGAGGAACAAGGGAAAGCTAATTTTTTCCGTCTGAGAATTGTTTCCTGGGTGAGAAGTCACCGTCTAAGAATTGTTTCCTTGGTGTTATATGTTATTAGTAACTTACAAATTCCATAAAAGTACATTTCAAAATTAATTCGTCAAATAGGAGTCAGTTTTGTAGGGAAGTTAAGCCTGAGGATATAGTCCTGGGATATGTATACCTTTCCTATTGAGTTTGTTTTCTATGCATTCTGATTTAATAAAACTTTATTTTTATTTTTTTGCTTCTTCTAGGTTTCGTGGTCTTTGCAACATTTGTGGTCATTGTGGCCTTGATATTCATCTTTGTGGTGGGACCTCGACACGGACAGACAAATATTCTTGTGTATATAACAATCTGCTCTGTGATTGGAGCATTTTCAGTCTCCTGTGTGAAGGGTTTGGGTATCGCCATCAAAGAGTTGTTGGCCGGCAAGCCTGTACTGCAGCACCCCCTGGCCTGGATCCTCCTGCTCAGCCTTGTGGTCTGTGTGAGCACACAGATTAATTATCTCAACCGGGCTCTGGACATTTTCAACACTTCCATTGTGACGCCGATATATTACGTGTTCTTTACAACTTCAGTTCTGACTTGTTCGGCTATTCTTTTTAAAGAGTGGCAAGATATGCCTGCTGATGATGTCATTGGGACTTTGAGTGGCTTCTTCACAATCATCGTGGGGATATTTTTGTTGCATGCCTTTAAAGATGTCAATTTTAGTCTAGCAAGTCTGCCTGTGTCTTTTCGAAAAGACGAAAAGACAATGAACGGCAATCTTTCTAGTCTGTATGAAGTTCTTAATAATAATGAAGAAGACCTACCCTGTGGAGTTGAACACACTAGTGAAAATATCTCCCGTAGAAATGGAAATCTGGCATCTTTTTAAGGATAAGATTGAAAAGTTAACCTATAATTCTGTTATAGTGATTTTTGAGTATCAGAATGTATCTGAAAAAAAAATTGCCCTCAAATAATGTTCTCGGAAGACAATCTTTTTTAATTAGTTTTCACTAATTTGGATCAAGAAAATTACTTTTCTTATATTTCAAGAATGGTAGCTCACTAAAATGACCTCGGCACATGGCTGATTTCTAATAACCCTGTATTGTTGTAAAAGCATTTCACGTTTTTACCCGTTCTCCAGAGCTCTAATGCACTAATGATAACGTTAAGCCTATAAAGATGCTTTATCTTTTCATTGGTGATGAACATGAAAATGTACATTTGTGATCCCCATTCATCAATCCCTCACCATAGTAAGGCTTTTGGATTATAAATATGATTCGTCACCCACACATGGGGTTTCCACGCGCGTTTGCCAGCCTCCTGTGGAAAGCACCGCAATGCTGCCAGTCAGCACTGCCTGCCTCCGCAGCCACCAGAGCTCCGTGTCGTGCTCACAGTGGACCGTAGCGTCCTTCAGCCCTCCTAACAACTCTGCGATGTTGACGAAGACTTGTGCGGTCTCTTCAATTTAGAAACCCGTGCTTGGCTAAAATGACAAGTTGGAACAAAGTCCTTATTCTGATTCCAGATGCTTAGATTTAAATGTTTGTAAAATATGGTCTCTTATTTTACTTAAGAGTTTAAACCTTACACATTTTGTTTTTTTACAAGCTGTGAATAATGTTCATAGAAAACCGAGAACAAGTACAAAAAAGCTAGACCAATGTAAGGAGCACTCTCCAGCATCAGACGTGCCCACTTCTCAGTCATGTATTGGACAGACAGACAGAAAAACCACACTCCCCTCCAGGCTGTCCCCACTGACAGGAAGAACTGGAGTTTGGGCCTACGCTTTTTTCTATTCCTGCCCATAACTGCATAGTGGCTTAGTGCTGGGTTTGTGAAATCCTCTTTGGGGGGTGGGGGCGGGATAGCTTTGTTTCATTATTGGCGTTTTGAGGAGCTCTTGCCTTCTTCTTTCTCTGCTGCCACCCTGTCTAACTCCGTTTTGGCCATACTGGGTGTCAGTCACAAGACCCAGTATATTCTACACAAATGTTCTAACACTGAGCTACATTTCCAGCTTTTCTATGTGATTTCAGCCCCAGAGCTAATAGTTTTTCCCTCCACAGATATCCTATATGTCTGTTTATGTACTGTATCTATGTCTTATTTTGCACATATAAAAAAGCCAATGTTCATTCCCTTGGGGATGAAGAGTTAGTTTCCTCATTGAGAATGAGTGTGTTGTAACGTAAAATACTTTATACGTACGTAATCTTGTACACAAGCATTTTATTTGGGCTGTCCCTTAGTAATATAGTCATTGACTTTATTTGGGTTGTCACACAGTCGTTGACTTTTACAATCCACACTTTCATAGGCTGAGTACAGATGCCATCACAACTTCATATCAAATATTTTAGGTAACTTTTTGATATCAGGCTTGTTAAAGATGTAACTCAGGTTTACAGTACAGCAGAATAGTACTTGTGTTTTATTTTCTATGTAAAATAAAGCTCAAAGCTTTTGGACTTTGGTGTTTCCCAGCCCAATGATGTTGTTACATTCCTTGTTCCTTAAGTGTCCTTGAACTCCTGAGCTCCAGGGATCCTCATCCCTCTGCTCTGCAAGCAGCTGCTGGGATGTCAGTTGTCAGTTCCCGTCACTGTACCCAATTCTTGATTTCTATTCCAAAAGTAGAGCCAAACTGGGTTCTAGGTTTTCACTTGGCAGGTCCCATGGACCAACTCAAGCTGATTGAGATAGTTCCCCCCACAATTGAGAAGCAATGTTTAGGGTTGTCAGGGACGGGCTCAAATTCTTCCCAGTCCCTTTCTTGCAGTGTCCACTGTCCCATGCCAACCCCCCACCCCCCAAACTGTTGCCCTTGAAAATGGGAGCACATACCTTAGTCCTGGTGTTCCTCTGTCCTGTGTGGACAACGCAGCTGCTGCCGTCTCACTGATGGTCATTTCACCCCTGCCTAAACCTGTGGTAAAGGTAACTGTGTGCTGGTTGTTTCTGAACGACGTCATGACCTCGTCCTGCAAACACTGATCTGAACCCACACTGTGAAATGTCCTGCCACCCCAGTGAACGAACACAAACAGATTACATTAACTTTTATTTCTCTAATCTGTAAGTCATATCTTACAAATCAGACTGACATTACTGGATTTGGTGGAAGCAGAGGAAACAATTTCACTCTTGGCATAAAAGGGAGCAATGACTTAGAAAAGATTTCCTAAAAGACCGTCAGAAAAACCCCTAAACAAAACAGCTACTCATTAAGTATAATAAAAATTGGTAGGGAATTTTTAAAATACAGTTAGTTGGCGTTATGCTTCTTACAGGCTAATTCAGTATTTTATAACTAGCTACTGGAACATTCAACATAAAAAAATACCTGTTAAGACCATCATAGTAATGAATGGCAACAACTGGCAACCAGTATTCTCATACTTCCCAATTCCAAAGGCATATACAAGTTTTAGTTTAGAAAAATAAGTTTTATAAAGTTAAGCTTTCAGATCAAAAAGCACCCCCGGAAGTAGGTTCAAAATAGTCCCTAAAAATGTCAATATAATTAACATAAAGACAAACATGCCGTCAGTTACAGAATGCCGTGAGCTTAGCCCTTAGCTGCTGGCTAGGGACTGGTGGATGGGCGGCTGGAAGCAGCGGACGTGTTCCACGGGCGTGCTCTCCCCATCACCAGACTTCAAGTACTTGTCCAGGATAGTGATGATTTCATCGTTGAGAATCTGGAACTTCCGGATCCTCTCCACCATCTTCTTCAGTGGCTACAATCAGACCAGATGCTTAGATTTACTGCTCTTTACGATGCAAGGACTCTCCTACAGAAAACTACATGACCCTACCTTCTTTTAAATTATCACCATTGGCCTAGCAAATAGATTTCCAATTTAAATCGCCTCTTTGTAATTTTGATACTGTTACGTCTAGACCTGTAAAACTTAAAGGCATGTTCATCTATTTAGCATGAAGAATAGTGAGTTTAAGGCCAACCTGGGGGTACATGGTGAGTTCCAGGTCATGCTGGGTGACCCTTTTCTCCAAAGCCCAAAAGCAAAGAAGAAGAACATTAACATGAAAAAAATATGTTTAGTATGTAAAGCCCTGTGAACTCTTAATGAAATAAGAGGTGTATTTCCAGTTCAATATTACTATGGAGAAGATATGCTTTGTCTGAGTCTTCCTAAGTCTGGATAAAGGTCACAGACACACAGAACTTGAAAGTATTGCTGGCTCTGCCCACACGGGGTGAAGATGAGAAGGGTAGACCGTGATAAAGAGATAGCCTGGTCTATCCTTCACGAGAAGCTCTGATAACACCGGGTGGTAATGACTGGCAGTGAACAGCAAATCTTCAAAGACATTTAAATCAGGTGAAACGAAACACAAACCCGCAAGCAGGCCATGTCACACAGGACATAATAATCTTAACTGGCCTTCAGAGATTCCAAGGCCTTCAGCTAGCAGAATTAGAATATGCAACAGCAAGAGGGGAACATTCCAGTTTAAATATTCCTGCCAAGATTTCAACCAAATTACAACGAGAAAAATGTTTAAAAGTAAAAACCCCAGCCAACTTAACCTGAAATGAGTTATTTCCACAAAAACAGACAATACTCGGGCTGTATTCCAGACAGCCAAGGGAATGGCAGTATGGGAGTTAGCACAACCCTTCGGAAATGCCCACACAACTGCTGTGGATATTCTCGCGATGAAGAGCGCTTCAGAAGAGCACCTGGGTTTGTCCAGGCAAACCCAATTCAGTCATCTGAGCGGAAAAGCAGGAGACAGGAAGGAGGTGGCAAAGGTGGGTGACCCCTGTGGCTTGAAACTGCTGTGGAAGCCATGTGAGGAAATGAGCTGACAGCGTTAAATTGAATTCAGCCCGTGACCCAAGGAGATGGGAAACACATTCATCCTTCAGGGCTGCCTGGGAAAACACATGCCATTTAGCTCTGTGCGGCGAAGCAGGGCAATCAGCTGAACCAGGCTGACATTTAAAAGTGAGCTAATCAATGGTGGGTATTTCTGTCCTTAGGCCTGAATTGTTGACTAGTCCTGGGAGCGACCAAAAAAACTAATTCAAACAAGTAAGTCACATGGGAAGCAGAAGAAAAGTCTAGCAGGAATGTTCTAGAAGAGATGAAAGAAAGCATTTGAGAACATAATGGCTGACTTATTTTCTACAATTCAATTGTGGGGAACTTCATAAGACAACAGGAAGTTAATAAAGGCAGTTTCAAAAGCACGTGATTTGGAAGCCAGAAGGCTAGAGCAGTATGCCAACAATCTGAAAACATAGTCTCTACGGAAAGACAAAAAGTAGATCTAATAAGAAAAAAGAAATAGAATCTATTTAAAAGTAAAAGCTTTCTGGATTTCTCTTTGTTTAAATTGCATTACGTTTAAATTCAAATTTTATGTTAGGATAAAAAAGTTCTCCCCCATGACAAATGTATCAAAGAGTCTGTCCACGTACCACATTTTTGATAATCTCATCTTTGCCGTCATGTTTCTGGACTTTGAGAAGATGGTAGCAGAAATCCAGCACTGCAAAGCGGCGCTGCTGTCCGAGCAGTACAATGATCATGCAGCCAGCCCAGTGGAGCCCATCTCCAAAACACTGCCTGTGAGCACCAAGCAACCGACAGAATGAACAGAGGGGCAGACTCATGGGTCTGTCTCCAGAGAGCAAGGGCGGACGATATCAACTCCTTTGTCTACACAGATTCTCAGACAGGAGAATGATGAGGACAAGCAGTTTTCCAAGTTTCGATAAACGCTAGTTTGGTAGGTCACAGACCTATGAAGAATGACTGTATGAACCTGCTACCCGGAAACAGGAATGCCCAAATTTTGCCTCCAGTTGCTCTGGGTTCAGATAATTCCAGTATACTTATTCTGAGTCCTCTTTTGGCACCAAGGAAGGAACCCCCTTCGGCACTAAACCAGTGCGGTGTTTGTTGCACTTGCTAAAAGCTACAAAGCTTTTGACGATGGTAACATCACTGCTGACTGCACGCATGCTCTTTCATCGGCCACCCCCTCCCCCGCCAGTTCTGCCTCCCCTGGAACTGCCCCGTCAGAGAGTCACAGAACGCACACTTACTCCACTGTGAACTCGTGTGTCCCCACGGGAATGCAGTACACAAACTGCATGGCGCTCCACAGCCTGTGAAACTCCACACACTCATCCACATGCATGACCCCATTGCTGGGCAGAGGCCCACGCCAGATGGGATCATCCAGAAAGGTCCGGATCCGTGTCAGGATGACCTCAAACATGGATAGACCACAGCAAAGTCGCTCCTTGGTCAGTAAGTCCCCTTCTCTTGCGATTGCAATTTGCTGCAAAAAGTACATGGAATGTTACAACCCATGATAGAGTATGGGAGGGCGAAAAACAAACTACCCTCAGGTCTGCTTTTGACATAGACAGAAAATGCTGAGCGGGCAAAAAAGAGGGCTCGTGGAAGCAATCATCAATAAACTATTACAATTATTGCACCAGTAAGTTATCAGCAACTAAGTATGTCCTAAAGATTAAAATAGCTGAGTCAAGAAGAATGAAGTACAACTATCCTTAACTGCAAAGCAACTTTGGCTTCAGGTCATATGGCAATTTCCAAAGGTATTTCTAGTTAACCACAAAAAATGTACTGGCAGAAGCCAGCAATGCCACTAAATGTAGAGCCCTCCCCGACCCCACCAAAAAAAAAAAAAAGAAAAGAAAAAGAAAACAACAACAACAACAAAAATAACCCAATGTGGTTGAAATGGCAGTGGTGCCAACAATAGGTTAAGCACGCCAGATCCAGGGTAAACTTTATTCTGGTACATTGCCTTTTATTACAACTTCTAAGCCAAAACCCTATTCAAAAAGCTTTGTTCAGTGGGACAGTGGTGATGCACACCATTAATCCCAGCAGCAGGCAGGGGAGGCAGGGGAGGCAGGTCTCTGCCTGGTCTACAGAGCGAGTTCCAGGACAGCCAGAGCTACACAGAGAAACCCTGCCTCAAAAAACAAAACAAAACAAAAACAACAAAAAAGACCATTTTGTTGTTGTTGTTCACGAAAGGGTAACTAATGACAACAGGTAGCATCTTTTGCGTCTACCTCTGTTCCTGAGATAGCTGCTTAAGCCCTTTCTACATAACCATCTCGAATCCTCACAATGTTCTGGAGGGACCCTCCTAGCTGCTTCCAACCCCTCCCCTGGTCTGATGTAGATTTCCACCTTTTGAGCAGTCCCTAGCAACCACAGCACGCCTTACCTGTGGGGTTCCCAGCCTTTCAATCAGTGGGACAAGATGCAGGGGCGCATACTTGGATTCTAGTCTTTTCATTTTCGCATCAACTCTCTCCCCCTCTGTGTTGGAAAATAATTTATTATTCTCTGTCCTTATGTAAGATGAAGGAATTGCAAAAGTTTAAATTTTTTTAAATATTTATTTATTTATTATGTATACAATATTCTGTCTGTGTTTATGCCTGCTGGCCAGAAGAGGGCATCAGACCCCATTACAGATGGTTGTGAGCTACCCATGTGGTTGCTGGGAATTGAACTCAGGACCTTTGGAAGAGCAGGCAATGCTCTTAACCTCTGAGCCATCTCTCCAGCCCCAAAAGTTTAAATTTTTAACAGAAACTTGAAGATTTAGTTAGCTCCACGGATGTAAATTCTCTTTAAAAAGAGTGTATCGTATTATATTAAAATATACAATATATTAAAATAACTCATTTGCAACTTTAATTCAAGCTGATAAGATTTACTTGTGCAATGTATCCATTTGGAATCTGCTTTCAACTTGAACTGGTGTGATTTTTTTCACGTAATTATCAGCCAACAGAATGGGGGAGCATGAAAGAGTTCATATTTAATAATACGCAGTTTTCAAAACTCATGGGAAGTTATGAATGTGCTCTAAAGCAGAACAGTACAATGAGCCTCTGCCCTCATCATGCCACTACCAACCTTTTATTATTATTTTATTTATTATGCCGTTCTTTTTTATTACCTCCACTTCCTGTTTCTGGGCTATTCTGAAACAAATCCTAGGCATCATTACAGTCATACATACTTCAGCTAATGAAGACTAACCAGGTTAGACACTCCCCACGGGGACGCCCTGGCTATGACAGGTACCCACAACTGTGCACACTAGTCTTCTGCCCTGGCTGCACCGTGCAATGTGAACTCTGGTTCGTGATGCAGACTCACCTTTCACGTGGACTCGAGGCAAGATGTTCTGGAATGGGGCTGCATGCAACAGGTCACACACTTCTTCTAAAGACTAAAGCAGAGAAGAGAAAGTTATCCCAGGAAGGGGATCACATAGTAGAAAAGATTACAAAGGTCTGGTGCAGAGAACTTACACTTTTCCCATTTAGTATAAAAGAAATGACATAGTCTGTCCACAGAGTTCCCTTCCCTGGAATAGTGGTAATGCCCCACTGAGCTACTCTCTGCCCCACAGGAAAAACACTCTCCTCTCCTTCCTTCCTTCCTTCTTCCCTCCCTCCCTCCC